CCAGAATGCTCCTTGAAAGCGAGAATAATGACATTTTGTTTTGCTTGCTTTGCTCATATTCCCAGTAGAGACTAGTTTCTAGAGACAAACATCAAGCTCAATTAAATAGAAGGTCAGTGAAAAAGAATGAAGCCCTTAATGAGTTGGGTTGACACAACGGCTGCATCAATGGACTCAAACATACCAAAGATAGTGAGGATGGTGCAGAACTAGGCAGCGTTTGGTTCTGTTGTACATAGAGTCGCTATGACTCTGAGCCAACAGGAAGGCACCTAACAACAGAGATGAGAGAAAGGAGCAAAGGGGCAGTCATTGCTTAAGAGTCAAGGAACTTGTATTTAGGGTGATGGAAAAATTTGAAATGGAAGAGCAAGGGTTTCACAATATAAAAATAATTAATGTCACTGAATTGTATGTGTAAAACTATTAAAATGGAAAACTATTTGTTATATATTTACCATAATAAATTAATAATAATTGTAAAGAGATATAATGTATATGGATTAAAGGATCAATTATTTTATTTTATTTATTTATTTTACTGTATCAATACTATGGATTCAGTTCAATTCCAACATGATTGTTGCAGCAATTGGCAAGCTTATTCTGGAAATTATATAGAAATATTAAAGAATTCAGAATATCTAACCACTCTCAAAAAAAAGAAAAAGTGAAAAGAAAGAAAGGAAACGAATATTGTTGGAGGATTTATTCTATCTAATTTTAAGACTTACTACAAAGCTCCACCAGCCAAGAATGGGTGGTATGGGCATAAGGATAAACATATAGATTAATAGAATTGAATAGACTCTATGTAACTTTATTGCAAAAATGCTCAAGTAACTCAATGGAAGAAGAATAGAGTTTTCAACAAATCACTCTGAATTAATTGGATATCCATATGGGATGAAAATGAACCTCAATCATTGCTTTACACCATATACCAAAATGAACTCAAAGACCTACATTTCAAAGTTAAATCCATAAAAATTCTATAACAAATCATCATGACCTTGGACTGAGGCAATACTTCTTAGATATGACACAATGATCATGAAGCACAATACAACAATTGGACTTTGTCAAAATTTTAATACTTCTAGTTAGATGACTCCAATTAAAAAATAAAAAGAGAAGCTACAAATGTTGAGAAATGTGTAGGTATTTGACAAAGACTATATAAATAACACCCATATTTCAGAAGTGAGAAGCCCAGCACCTCTATTTTTTAAATAGGCAGAGGATTCAAACTCAATCTTCACAAAAGGAGATATATAACAAAAGACTACACATAAATGGCCAATGAGAACATGAAAATAAATGCTCAACATCATCAGTCATCTGAAGATGCAATTAAACCACAGTAGTTTACCACAGTGCATCCCTAGAATGACTGAAAGCAAAACAACTAACGCTGCTACGTGACAAAGATGTGGAGCAACTGGAACTCTCCAAAAGGTTGACGGTTTGAACCTGCCAGCTGCTCCACAGAAGAAAGATGAGGCAGCCTGCTTCCATAAAGATTTACACAACATTGTAAACCTATGGGGGTCACTACTTGATGCAGTGAATTTGGTTGTTTTGTTTTTTTAACTTCTGATACTGACCAGACCATGAGTCCTAGAGGAATATTGTAATCTAGCATCTTCTGGGATTTCTGGTATTCAAGATCCATCTGAAATGTGGAAAAAAAAAAAAAAAAAAAAAACCTACATGGACAAGTATTTTAAATAAACTCACTGCCATTGAGTCAATTCCAACTTATAATGACCCTGTAAGACAGAATAGAACTGCCCCATAGGGTTTCCAAGGCTGTCAATCCTTACAGAAGCAGACTGACTCAGCTGGTATGTTCAAACTGACTCAGCTGGTATGTTCAAACTGCCAGCCTTTTGGTTAGCAGTAGAATGCTTTAATCACTGCACCACCAGAACTTCTATACTTTTAAATATCAACCATTAATTGCATGTTCTCACTGCTCCAGCTCTCAAGCAATCAACAATGCATTTTTAGGGAAGGTTTAATATTGATAAAAACGGTTTCCCATTGTAATGTAAGTCAACAGGTAAACTACATAAGAGATCAACACAGAGAAATTATGCTACTATGCTTTGTGGTTGTTGTTGTTATGTGCCATCGAGTCGGAATTTAGCTTCCTTAAAAATCTAGGTTTAGATAAACAAAAGAGACAGTCACATGGTTAGGTTCCAACCACAGGGAATACAATTCTCTATTCAAAAATGGCTGTTTCTCAAACACGTCTCTGCAGAATACCTGCTTCTAAGACTCAGCCTTTCTATCAAAGGAGATAATTTATTCCTGGGAGAGCAACTACAAGACAAGTCCCTGAACCTTTATGGAAACCACTTTAAATATCTATGCAGTGTAAAGTGAAAACGCTTTTTGTTCTTTTGTTCACACATCCAGAGCATGATCCATCATGTGCAGAGTAATCCACTTAAATGTGCTTCCTGCAGACTTTCTGCCTCTTACCATGCAAGAATAAGCACACATAGAAGATAATTCTAAATTCAAAACTAAAATTTTCTGAGGAAACATTTTGAGTTTTTAGACCAAAGGAAAGATTTAGACTCATAACATCACTTTATCAACTTTTCCATTGATATTGAATTACCTGAATACTCTCTAGCCAAGTGTCACCCAGGTTTCATTTGGAAGATGAAACACCATTTCAATTTGAAGATGGAATTATTTCTGAACACTTCCAGACATCCTTATGGTCATTAATAAAGACCATTAAGGTAAGTTTCTCAATAGCAATGCCTCTTATTAAAGATTATCACTCTCCACATGTAAAAATCATTATTTTTCAACACTTTCTAAGTGTAGTGTATTCATCCTCACTCCAATCCATCAAAGGATATGATTAAACATCATTTAAAAACCTCATTAGATAGATGAAAAAGTTGATGCTCATAGAGATTAAACAATGTGTAGGATTCTCACCTAGTTCTTTGACATCAGGAACCATGCTGACCAGGAGACAATCTCTTTTGATTATCCAGACTAGTCATGAGGATGAAACAAGATTTAAATACAATTCACCTAAAGGGCATAAATATGAATAATAACATTAATCATCAGCTGCTTAGTAAAAGGACAAACACAGAGAACACTTTCTGGGATCAAATGTATGGATAATATGAGTTTCTGGCTTGTTGAGAGGCAAACAGGGCCATGATTCTTTCTGAATTTATATTATGGTTAATTATTTCTCTGTACTATAGACCTAAGTGTCAATTCTTCTTACCTCCTAAGGTACACGCACATTCATAAAAATTGATTAAAGTCCTACCTGTGTCCCCAGCACTGTGTTCACATGTGCTCTCTCAATCAAGTCTCATAATAAACAGTGAGGTAGATATTATTATTCTTACCTTACAGACAAGGAAACAAGATGCAAGTGTGACAAAAATGTACCCCCAGATAAAAGAAGTTGCAAGTGGGAGATTCTAAATCTGGTCTTTCTGTTTCTAAAACCAATGCACTTAATCATGTAACAGTCAATTTCATCATTTTGCAAATTTGGGAGTCATATTCTTTGGAAGGGAGTTAGTGAAGAGAGAGTAAGGTCAAATGAAGGGGCCCTTTAACAGAGAATAGTACCATCTCTTTATGTATGTGTATGTGTGTATGTACATATGTGGGGGGGTGTATGTGTGTGTGCTTATATATACACTTAATAACATAACTATCTTATGTCCTTATTTATGTTTAATGACATATATGTTTATATTTGTATGTGTGTGCACGCATTCTGTTGATGAAATTGCTTCACATTAACTTGTCTCTGAGAGAGTATTAAAATAATTACAATTATTTTGATGATATCTAAAGGAAGTTACTAGTTAAATGTGATTTATTATAACATAATGATATGGATTAGGAATTTGGAGGGGGGAAAAATGAAAGGAATACCTTAATACCAAATCTGTGCTCTTTTATTCGCTGCTTGAACTTGAAAATGATCCTTAACTTCTTTGTGCTTCTATTTCCTAATGTGTAAAACAAATTAATAATATAATAGTAGTAATCATCTCCTAGGTAGGTTGTTGTTGTTACGTGCCTATGTAGTGAGGATTAAATAAGCACAAAACATTAGAACATATCATGGTAAGCTTTAGTTGCTATTATAATTGTTACTACAACTTTGAGGATGAGCCTCTGAGATCATTTCCTCATCTGCAAAATGGGTGAAATAATATAAACTACAGATGTTGTTATAAAGATTAAATGGAATCACATATAAAATCTCTTGCTATCATATCATGTTCATGGCAAGCAGTTATTAAAATGTGTATATTATTAACTATTATAAAGCAATTGAGTTTAGACAAGAAGTGTTATGAATCCTTTCACAGTAGCTCTTGTAACCTTTCTTTCATTCCCATCACCAATGCCCTGTACTCCTTGTGTTAACAACTATAAACAGTTTGCTAACTGGTCTGCCTGTCTCTGCTTTCCATCAGTTTATTGCTCTTTGTCTAAGACACACAAAGTCCTTTACTAGACTAATATTCCAAACTTTCCTCTTCCTCAAATTCCTCTTCATCCTTCCACTCGTGCTTAAAAACTCTGCATGATTCTCTATTTCTTAAAAAATAGGGGCAAATTTCTTTGCTTTATGTCTATCTCTTACCTCACTGTCAGGTTTATCTGCCACTGTGTGTACTATCACTATTTCAAATTAGACTCTTAGTCATCTCAGATGACTACGTTACACAGATGATCTCTTGCCCAATGTTTTTACAGTGTCCTTCATGTCTATCTCATTAACAGAATGGAAATCTCATCTGGAAAGCAGCTTCAGTAATTTCTGTGTACTCAGACCTGTATTTCCTTATCAAAGAAATATTAAGAATTGACAAATCTGTAGAAGAACTTATTAATTATAATAAAGGATAATTTTAATACATTCAGGGTTGTTTTAATGAAATGTTTTAGTTTCAGGTAATGCAATTAACTATCACATAAGATACATGGAGAGTAGGAACAATGTGACGGAGTTTGTTCTACTGGGGCTCACGGAGAATCCAAAGATGCAGAAAATCATATTTGCTGTGTTTTTTGTCATCTACATCATCACTGTGGTAGGAAATGTGCTCATTGTGGTTGCCATTGCTGTCAGCCCATCACTAGGATCCCCCATGTACTTTTTCCTGGCATATCTCTCCTTTATTGATGCCTGTTATTCCTCTGTCAATACACCTAAACTGATTGTAGATTCACTGCATGAACGGAAGACCATCCTATTCAATGGATGTATGATCCAAGTCTTTGGAGAACATTTCTTTGGTGGTGCTGAGGGCATCCTTCTTACTGTGATGGCTTATGACCGCTATGTGGCCATCTGCAAGCCTTTGCACTATACAACCATCATGAACCAGAGAGTGTGTGTCCTGCTAGTGGGAGTAGTGTGGGTAGGAGGCTTTCTTCATGCGATCATACAGATCCTTTTCATGTTTCAATTACCCTTCTGTGGCCCTAATATCATAGATCACTTTATGTGTGATCTGAACCCTTTGCTCAATCTTGCCTGCACTGATACCCACACTCTAGGGCTCTTTGTTGCTGCCAACAGTGGGTTCATCTGCCTGTTAAACTTTCTCCTCTTGCTGGTCTCCTATTCAGTCATCCTGCGCTCCCTAAGGACCCATAGTTTGGAGGGGAGATGCAAAGCCCTCTCAACTTGTGTTTCCCATATCACAGTGGTTGTCTTGTTCTTTGTACCCTGCATATTTGTGTACATGAGACCCGCAGCTACTTTAGCTGTAGATAAGGCAGTTGCTGTATTCTACACCATCATAACTCCCATGTTAAATCCTTTAATCTATACCTTGAGAAATGCCCAGATGAAAAATGCCATTAGAAAATTATATAGCAGGAAAACTACTTCAGGTGACTAATAAATATCTCTAGAGTACAATGGTGATTGTACTTAATAAGAGGTCAACAGTCTATGTAGTATTTTTCTTCACGTACTACTTATCAGATAAGGAAAAAATTCATCAGTACAATTAATAGATTTTGCAATTTAGCAGTGCAAAAAAAAAGAAAGAATCAATCACAGGAGAACAGAAGGACAGTGTTTGCACAAGGAGACAGCTCAAAGGGTGGGAGTGCATGGGAGGGAAACATACAGGGAAAAAGTAACTATGGGGAGTAAGTGGAAAGAGAGCTGTTACACTGTGGAGAATTGCAGTCAATGTCAGGAGACCAAATGTGTATGAACTACTGTATGGAAAATGAATTTACTCTGTAAACTTTCA